TCTGGTGTTCCGCTGAGATACTTCAGATCGGCGCCTGATCAGATTACTGATAGCCCGTGGCCCATCAGGCACGTAAATGGCGTGATGCAAACATATGCTGTCGCGGTGGGTGACAGCCTCGTCGAAATTGGGCCAATTCAGCTGTTTTCAGAATTCCGTGACATGATCTCGTCGGCGTGTGCCGGCAACAATTCTAACCCCGAAGTTAATAGCCTTATCCAGGCGCTGGTGCTGAACGGCTGTTGTCGGGGCTCATGCAGGTAAACAGTATCTGATGTGAGGAAAGACCAGTGACTCAACAAGGGACTTCATTGTGGAGATGGGAAGCACATGTTTGAGCTTGTTATTGGCTATGAGGGAGCCAAAACAGCGCTGAGTGGTTTTGGCGTTTGATGCTGCCAGTTGAGATTTTAATCGATAAGCACCGCTAGTATTTTGATGTACTCTGAAGGAGACAGCTGGGAGTTATCAAAATTTACACTCTGCCCGGCGGCTTTGCGGGTGTTGGTCGGTATGCCAACAACAATGAATTCAGCTTTTGATTGGTTGACGTGAGGCAGTTGCGACGATGACTGATACCGCTGACGCAGTTGTGGCGCGTACGCGGCAGAATTCAGCGCTTTTCCTGTTGCTCGTCAACATGAACTGATAAATAATGACGTCAGAGGGTCGTGAGCAGCGGCAAGAGCTGCTGCTCAAGATCCAGCTGCCGCTTTGACTGCAGCCACTCGGCTTCTTCATTCTCACTAATGGCACCCTGCTCTCAGTAAGGCATGCAGTCGTTCGGCTTTTTTATTGTCAGCAAGAGCGCTCGTCCCATGTAAACGGTATTATGACGTCACTGGCACACACACACCACCTGTAATAGAAGTTTTTGCCTGAGCCCGCCTGTGGTGGATCAGTTCGACCCTGCCCCGACTGGAGCCTCAGTTCAAGAAGCTGAGTCCGATCCCGAGTCCGTGCCCTGAAGCGCTGAGGTCAAGTCCCAGTTCCGAATCTACCCCGTCAGATTACATGCTCCGAGCCGATCAATTTTCACGACCACGAGTCCTAGACTGAGTCCGAGTCCTTCGAGAGTCTGGCTCTCGAGTCTCGAGTCCCAGGAGACTCTCGGACGCGTCCGTGGCAGAGTCTGTGCACAGGCTCCATTCTCATGTGAGAATCCATTTGTTTTGTTACAGGAACGCGTGAGACAAATATCGTTGCGTGTTGAACTGACAAGGAGGGGATATCCAAAAGTGAGAGCTTCAGCTGGGCCAGGAGGCGGCCAGGGTTTCCTTAACGGGGTAGGGGGAGGTGGACAGCGGTGATAACGCGTTACGCCTTTTTCACCTTGTCAGGAGCTATCTGTGTTAAAAAAGAAAGGAAAAAACTAAAAAGGATGCAGGCGTGAAGGGGGAAGCTCACCTTGGCTGCGGCCATGCACTGGGTCAACGCAAAATTCCTTCAACCAGGCCTGATCTTAATCCAAGCATAGCTTTGATGTATTGTCGAGAATGTTTGACACCAGGCACGGCGTTGTGGGCACGGGCGAAAGTATTTCGTGAAACTCGGTAAGTTAGTGGCTCAGTGAGTCAGTGGCTCAGTGACTGTATGTTTTTGCTGGGACTATGAGGTATATACAGAAAGGTCATCTTATATCATAAGCGGATTTATGTCGCACGTGACTTCCCAGAGATATCATCAATAACTATTTCCACGCGACTCGTAGGTTGTGAGAGTTTGGCCCCAAATTACGTAGCCTTGGAATGCGGGCAAAGTGGCCCACATCGCTCTAATCTCTACGCAGTATGGAAACCAGTTTTGACTCCTAATCCGCCATGCAATGATCTGATGAGATGGGTTTTAGGTATCCCGGTGAAAATGACAGTCGGCGCTCACGTTAGCCTATCTCTTCAGTTCAGTTCCGAATTCAGTTCAGTTTAGTTCCTTGCTGACTGGAAGACGTGGATCGAGACAACTGAAGTCTTGCTGGACTTGTGTGTGAGAGACGCAATTGTAATTCGCAGTCCCTACCAAGTGCAGGTAAGTAGGTAAGTTCAAAGCATGTTTGCAACTTATGCTAGCTAATTGCTATGACAAGAACTGCAATCCGATGTTGAACTGTTGACATGGCATCGCCGACAGCATGGCTAGCACTGGCTAGCGGAAATGCGATTGTATATGTGTGAATGCATTTGGCTGGCATTCACATTCATTCGGGCGCGCAGACTGTCAGCTGTCAGGTCTGGTGTAGTTTATTCCACGTTGCATGCTCTGTAATTAATGGGTTTGGGTCGTATGTACCAGGTTCAATCTGCTAGCCTAGAGCTGAGATTTGATTGCTAACACGCGCCCGGTGGCCGGTTGGATACCCTTCGCTAGGGTGGGGGGGGGGGGGGGGTCAGTTTGAATCCACTCCACCTGAGATCTCAGAACTTAGAGAGCTGGAGACACCAAATTCCAGGTTGGTCTCCAAAGGGCCTGTATAACTTAAACAACTGTTGTAAGCAAAGTTTCACATGCTCATTTAAGGTTAGTGGCCTTGTTTTACCTTTTGGAGTCATGGTGGCCAAAATCATGCAAGAGTGCTTCGAGTTTTGCATTTGAATAAGCGACAAAGATTAATCTAGGCAGTATGTTCCTATTCACAAAATGTTAGCCTGGGTCATTTCACGTTATTGACGCATCCTGACCTTGAAGAAGTCCAGGGAAAGTGTATAATGCGGCTCTTGCTGTCAATAATTTCGAAAAAGGCGCCAAAAACTATCCCATACAGCAAGCCCTAGAATAAAAAGACAGGTTGGTTTTGACCTTGGTGTGACCTTCAGACCTCACCTTAGGTCATTGTCATTTGCTCATTTAATTGTTGCCTTGCGTAAGCTAGAAATTGCCTTCGCTGAAACCATGGCCTGACTTTGTCATAGGTCATAGGTCATAGGTCATGGGTGTTAGGTCAGTGACCTTACAAGGTACATCTAAATCATCGATGTCAGACGATCCGCTATTCAGCTGTCTACAGCTACTGAAAATTTGGCTCGGCTATGCCGCGCCGTTCGGAAACCATTCCGGAAAAAACCTTCGGGGAGTCAATCTGACCATCCCAACCGAGCGCGTGTTAAGAGGGCTGGTTGGCAACAGGTCACAGGAAAGGTATCGTTTGCTGCACTACATTTAGTAGGTTCAAACTACAACATTGTCAACATTGTTCAAACCAAAACAACACCCTATTTATACCCAATTTCAGTACCGTGAGAGAGAGAGAGAGAGAGAGAGAGAGAGAGAGAGAGAGAGAGAGAGAGAGAGAGAGAGAGAGGAGAGATGAGAGAGAGAGGAGAGAGAGAGAGAGGAGAGAGAGAGGAGAGAGAGAGAGAGAGGGATATATATATATATATATATATATATATATATATATATATATATATATATATATATATATATATATATATGTGTGTGCGTATGTGTGTGTGTGTGTGTGTGCTGCGCTGCTGTGCGTGTGTGTGTGTGTGCGTGTGTGTGTGTGTGTGTGTGTGTGTGTGTGTGTGTGTGTGTGTGTGTGTGTGTGTGTGTGTGTGTGTGTGTGTGTGTGTGTACGAACGTCTCCCCAACGGGTTGTGACATCAAGGTATTTCGCTCCAGCAACCGCTGGTACATTTTTCAATTTCCATTTCTGCACCGGTTTTCCACAGCACTGCGCTTTGCATAATCAATCTCGATGAACAACTTAGCATGACATCAGTTCTTTCTCTACCAAAAACTGTGTACACGTATTATCATTGACTCCTAGGAAGGACATGGAGCGGTTATCCGGTGTACTGAATGCCGGCATTTTCAATGGCCATCCTGTGCGACACAACGAGCCACGGCGTCTCCCGCTACGAAACGGAGAAGTTACCAGGAAAATGACTTCGGTGGGAGGGACTACGACGACGACAGGGGACACCGCGCTAAGAAGAACAGCAACGGTATCGCATAGCGCCCGTGGAACGGTGTAGTGATCGTCGCATCGGGCGTTACAACAGAAAAGTACGCGTTTTGTGCAACAGTGCTGGTGCGGAGGCAATTTCGGACAAATGCCTTGCAGATAAACCTTGATCTGGCTTCTTATTGATGACGTGAAGCAGCGTGCGTGGAATTACGGCGGTCCGTCAGTCAGATGAAATTTGAAAGGGTGGACCGGTGGAGCCCAACCGGGGGCCCATCTAGGGTGGATATCTGGGTCCTATCTGAGCTGGTTTATGGGTCCCAGCTGGGCATACCTATGTGAGTCCCAGCTGGACATACCCACGTGGATCTCAACTGGGCAGCCCGGGTAGGTCACATGTGGGTTCCAGTTTTGTCCCATATGGGCCCCAGGTGAGCTTCCCATGTGGAACCAAGTAGGTTGCCCATGACATGCCCACATGGGACCGAAGTGGGCAGTTCCGATAGGTCGCATGTGGCCGTCTATCTCGGACCCAAATGGGTCTCAGTTGGACATGCTGGCTGGCTTTGATACACCTCGTCCGGATTATGTGGAGACTGCTGTCCGTCCAAGCTCAGCCGGTATGTCCAGATCTGGGATGCGAGACGGTTTGACCTCCAGCCTGGACGTGCTCGAGGGCCGCTAGCACCCACGGGTAGATGATTCAGGGACCTGCGACGGTAAAGGCGCGAGAGCGATGAGCCTGACTGTTTGAGCCTGATTTGCTGTCTTGGCACCATCGCCGACAGATCCCATTTGGTGTGGACGATGCAGTTGCAGTCTGGGTCAAGTTTTCAGAATCCGCACCGGGCTCACTGCTTGGTAAGTAACGATAAGTAACATCTGTCGACAACGTTGGCATACATGAATGAAAATAATAGCTATTTACTGGTAAATTTGCATACATTAATCGATAGTACGCAACGCGCAGGACTACCCGCAGCGACTGCCGGGAAAAAACCCCAGTGACGTCACACTAGCGTTGATGGGATGAGGCCCTAAAATCGCCGCACCATATTATCTCCTCCCCAATTTTAGCGCCAGTGTTGAGGATAATTTGGGAATGTCGCGGGGATGGACCTTTGTGCTCAAAATTTAAACGACCGTTGTTTTTTATGGGTGAGTATGCTGTAGATAAATCCTGGACTACAGGACCTTGGGGCAGATATTGTCACCCGGCTAGTGGTGAGCATAGGATGCCGGTACTGGGCTGCGGTGATTGGCATGCAAATTAACTTGGTGGAATTTGCATCATGGTAGACAGGTGTCTACTTAGTTGGTCACATCAGGCAAACATCATTCTGGAATTTTGATTGTGTTTTTAAAAGTCTTGAATTTCATGCATGATTAGGAAGATTAATTTCAGCATACTCACAGGGTTGAATTTGTGATGCAAGCAGGTTTGGAGTATGTATGTTAGCTGAAGATATGCATGTGAGATAGAAGATATATGTGTATATGTATGCATATATGTGTATATATATTGGCCCAGGTGTTATATATATATATATATATATCATGTGTGCAAAAAATAATTTAAGATGCAGCATAACTAGGCCAGGCCTTAGTTTTGACAACCAGGGTGCTGGGTTTAGCACTCTGCAAGTACACTGCATGGATTTTTTGCACACTGCTCTATGGCATCTCAGGTTTCAGACCTTGCAGTATATCCTGGTCACTCTGCTTTTCCCTTAAAGTGCTTCCAAATTGATCTGATTATTCCCACACCTCATCCTACCATCTCTAAGCCCCTTGAAGTTTGCCTCTTACCTACTGTGCCTTTTTCAACAAATGTATATTTCTAAGTACAGGGAAGGCTGAGGTGGACATTTGTGGTGCAGTTTATTTTTATTTCTCAGATTGCTGTGCTAATAGAACATGCTGTTAACAGCAGATTGTCAGATTGTTTGAAGCAGGTGAAGTCAGTGACCTGAGATCAGGGCATGAAAAGAGTACTAATGCACATACACAATCCACAGAGCACATTAACTTGGCCCAGGTGTTGGCCTACCTCTGTGGGTGCCTTCTGCAAAACACATGTTGAGCTCAAAATTGGTGGTTACATTAGGTAATTTTAGGCACAGAGCTCCAGTGCTCCACTGAATACATTTGATATCACTAATGCAAAATAGAGTCACCATGTGGCTTATGAGAACATGCAAGGTCACATGGGGGCATCCAAGGTCATATGAGGGTATCCAAAGTCAATGACCTCTGTTGTCAGAAGCATGCATGCAAATGCTGTTTGATGTCTCTAAGTTGTTCATCAATTGGTGTTAGAGGTTCTAGAGGTAAATTGTGAAAGATAAATGTCACCAAGGTGATCAGTTACCCTGTTGTGCACACAATATTTGAGGGCCGGGTTGTACTAGCAATGGGCAGCTGGGCGGCAGGCTGGCTGGAGCCTGGACCATGCTTCTCAGCTAATGTGAGGCAACGCCAGATGTTGGATGAGCGCATGAAGATCTCTGCAGGTTCATCGCACAAACAAGGTCTCTACGCGGCGTTGTTGACACAGGACACATAGGGACATCTTGTTTGTATTAGAGCCCTTTTGACCAGAAATGATAATTTCAGGGCTATGGGATGAAGGAGAATGGTTGACAATGGGGCAGACCCGCACGCGCCTGGGGGGCCAACCGCCGAGCTTTAACCCGCACATGCGTTCTGGATACCCGGTCGGGGTCCCCTTTCCCACGGGGCTCTCGGCCCACTCGTGGCTGACGCATGCAGCCTGCCCCGGACACGCCGGGGTGTCGCGAGGATGCAGGATGAAGCGAGATAGAGGATAAGAGGGGCGGATGGGGAAAGGACAGACACCTGGCCGTCGGCCCTTTTTATCTGCGCACGCTCTGACCTCGAAGTGTTGATTTCGGGGAGGTAAGTGTGCAAGCAAAGCGTCAGGGAAACAAGCATGTGCTTAATGTTGTTTGATGGCATCCGCCAGTACTTTGTCCACAGTATTGATCACTGATCAGTTTGTTTTACTTGTTTGGGTGAACAGAAATCAGTTTTTTTAGGTGGACGGGTGAGATCCTGCGGCTAGTTTGCAGTTGGTGGCTTGCGTGTGCGTGTGCGCGCTGTCCGGTTGGTCCAGGCTCTCGCCGTGCCTGAGTTACGGGCGCGTCGGCTGACCAGAAATTAATGTCGCATGTCTGGCTCCCACTGACGCGGGTGTCAGTGACACGCTGTTTCTGACACACTGTTTCTGACAGAGGCCGCTAAGATCTGATTTAGAAGCTCGGTGTGGTCAGTGGGATCGTAATTGCGGAACTATGACTTGGAGGAAGAATTCAAAAGTAGGATGGCCATTATTATGCAGTTTCAGAAACAGATGGACCGATCCCTTACACGCACATCTCTGGTATTTGAGCTGAGGTGGCCGGGCAATAAGTCAACAGAGTTGAAGCGCGCCTGTGACATGTTGTCAGGCGCGCCAGCTCAAACATTTCCGATTTATGCGCTCAGTAGTCTCGTGATGCGTTGTTGTAACGGTCTTTCGCCGACAAAATCATCTACTGTGACAAAAAAATCAGGAAAGTATGATAAGCATATGCACGCTGCTACATTTAAGCACGTAACTGCGCTTTAATAGAGCTAAGCGAAATATGTAAACGGCGTTAACTAGTAATTTCGCAGGACACATTCATACTTCAACTGTTGCATATGAAAGCCCAGGTGTTGAACCACGTATAAATATGGGGTCATGTTTATGTTAAAGCACAGAAAAACTGTTACGTATGCGCTTTAAGATGCCCAAATATTAAATAAATACGAAGATGCCATAATAAATGTTAGCCTTTCGAGGCACTACCGCGGTTTCGTGGGCTGCACGGTGGTGTAAGTGGAGATGGCGTCTTGGATACCTGGGTGGTCTTAAAATAGTCTTCCCGAAATAGTCTGGACATCTTTGCGGGCATGTAGCTCAAAAATTAGACGGGTTTAGGTCTTCAAAAGGGCAGGGCTGTGAACCGCACAGAATGATCTTCAAGATGGTCGTTTCATTTCAAAACCCGGTGTAAATGTGGAACACTCCCTTTAATGCGTTTCATCTTGTGTTCCGTTTGTTAACAGCGGTGTTGAATCGTGCAATGCTCTGATTGCCGCTCACTCACAACATTTCTACAGGTCCTGATGTCAAGCCTGATGTCAGGCCGGATCCGCTGGCGTTGTCACCGTCGCCAGTGGATGTCTTCACCCCGGTCGGTGGTCCGGCTGAGTTGTTGGGTACGGATTCAGATGCGGTCATCAAAATCGGTCGTATGGATTGGCATCAGTTACAACCGGCAACGAGAACTACGCGCTATTTTCGTTTGATGAGCGGAACGCCGCCGGGAATGACCACCATCTGCTATTCGGGTCGCACGCAGGCAGTACATTACAACTGCGTTGGTAACCCGCTGTTCGCTTGTGTTCGTCATGAAGATAGAGATGGTCTCTCACTACCCCTCCCCCCACCTTTGCCTCAGTCCGGACGAGTTGACGTTGGTTGTAAAATATCTGATGCATGGTGCAATGTGGTCATCCAAAACACTTTTTCAGACGCTCCTAACGATATCAAGCCTGATCCGTTGGCATTGTCGGCTCCATATCTGCGTCTACTGAAAGCAGCTAATGGCTTCTCATCTCGTACGACAGGTGTGAATCCTTAGAAGCGTCCGTTGATCTGACGAGACGATTGCTGTCCGTTGCTGCGGTGAGCCGTGCTGGCGTACTCCATCCACAAATGGGCACTGGTCATATGTGTCTGGACCCTCAACACAATATGGCCGTTAGGGATGTGGAATAGGTGTGTCGTCTCTATGACGTCATACATTTCTGGGCTACTTCGAAGTAGTGGCACGAAATAGTCTGCACAAGTTTGCGTGTGAGTTAAAAAGCGGAAGGGTTTGAAGTCTTTGAAAGAGCACAGCTATCAACTGCATTGAATTTTCTTTTCTTGAAAAGGGGTTTCAAAAAGCCATGCACTAGTGGAATATCTCCTTTAACGTATCCACGCACACTGGCTGATGAATGGCATTCCTTCGTACACGCAGGAGTTCTTGTCGTATTCCCGTGTCCACAAATAACAAAATTTCATTTGTAGCTCTGCACGTAATAATAATGGCACATATTTGGTTCGTAAGTCCATCACATGCGAGAGAAATTTCTAATATAAATCGTAATCACTAAAGTATGTCCATTTGTGTTGTTCTTGCGTGTTGTAAAAACCCTGTGGGATGTTCTCACTGGGTGGCGTATGACCTCTTGCTTGATTATTGTATGTTCAATCTGGTGCGTGAACGGATGTAGCCCACTTCCTCGGTCTTCTGGTAAAATTGTGCATTTCCCTGTCCAGCCGGCCGTAATCTGAGCTAGGGCGCACCTGGACAGGCTCTCTCTGTCAATGAAGGCAGCAATCTGAGCTAGGTCGCACCTGGACAGGCTCTCTCTGTCAATGAAGGCAGCAATCTGAGCTAGGTCGCACCTGGACAGGCTCTCTCTGTCCATGAAGGCCGTGATGTGGCCCTATCGGCACTGTGATGTGGCATCTCTTGCACGTTTGGGAATCCGATGTTGGCCTAAATTGCGACAGTTGTCTTAGAAAATATCAGTTTTTCCTGGAGGATGCGTGTGAATTAAACTGGCAGTTTCAAATCATGCTGAGATGACGCGCCATGGTCGCTGTTACTGAGTTGCGACTGTGATAGAATGCAGGCGGGAAATCGGATGAACTCAAGTTTCGCCTTTGAAGGTGTGTTGTGTCCACCGCTAGCTGTTGTCTGGGAATTAACCATCTGTTTCTCGGCCTGGGGTTGCCACTACTGTCGGGCAGCTTACTCAAATCAGTTATCATTCGGCCTCTCTGAAGGGTATTTGGTTACCCGTGTGGTCTGTCTGGAGCGCGGACCCCAAATAGCAACCATCTGCTGTTTTGCCAGTCATTTGTATTTTAAGGCAGGCGTGATATTCAGAATGGGTTTCTGAACAGGCCGTTGGGCTTTTTCCAAGTCTGATGTTAAGCAACGTATTATACGATGAGACGTAAGCATGCCGCAGTGCTACATTGCAGAGACCATAAGAGAAATTGGGAGGCGGCAAAATTATTCACCCGCCTATACCAAGCTGGAATATGCAGGTTGTGGATCAGCAAGATAAATGGTATACGCGATGTTTTTAGACCTCTGTGTCACTTTTCTAAGCAATACTTTGCAATATTTGGCGATACGTAACAGGCGAAGAAATGGCGTTCGATATGGTAATGAGGGCGCAGTCACATCTATTACTGGTCTAAAGTTGGTCAAGATGCGGCGACTGTCCGTCGGTGATGGTGATGCGGTGACAGATGCGGTGACTGTCCGTTGGTGATGGTGATGCGGTGACAGATGTGGTGACTATCCGTCGGTGATGGTGATGCGGTGACAGATGTGGTGACTATCCGTCGGTGATGGTGATGCGGTGACAGATGTGGTGACTCTCCGGGCTTGATTTCACCGCAATGCAACTTTTTTACCCTCCTTTGGCTTGGCGTTAGCAACGCACCCATATGAATGGCCAAAGTCGTGCCTCGTGGTCTAACTCCAGGCCTGTGTTTTCAGATGCTATTTGGTTCTGCTGTGAATACTGCAATTTCCAGTGTTTCGATTCAGATGGTCTCTCGGAGCACGTTAAGTGCCAGCATCAAGAGAAATCGCTGGACTCGGCTTTGCCGGACCGAAGGCTCATTTCAAACAAACAATGCGTTCAAGCTCCCACTGACAAGTCCGGCCTCTCGACGAGGCCGTTCAGATGTCACATGTGCAACGCTCCGTTTACGCGAAGCGATAGCCTCGCGTTGCATGTTCGGATCCACACAAACCAGAGCAGATGTGGTTTTACGGAACGTAGACGGACGCGCACCGGCGAGAAGCCGTTCACCTGTGAGCTCTGTGGGCGGTCGTTTCGGCGCAGAGGCACCCTCGCGCGTCACCGTCTTACCCACACCGGTGAGAATTCGATCAGATGTGAGATCTGTGGAAAGTCGTTTGTTTCAGGCGGCAGCCTTACGCTGCATACTCGGACTCACACCGGTGAGAAGCCGTTCGGTTGTGGAGTATGTGGGAAAGCGTACAGTCAGCGTGGAAGCCTTAGGTATCACCTCCGGACTCACACAGGTGAAAAACCGTTCAGCTGCGAAATTTGTGGTCGGTCGTTCATTCAAAGGAGCCACGTTACCAACCACCTCCGGACACACTCAGGGGAGAAGCCGGTAAGTTGCGAACTCTGCGGGCGGTCGTTCTCGCAAAAGGCGGACCTCATTTCCCACCTCCGCACTCACACAGGTGAAAAGCCGTTCAGTTGCGAAGTCTGCGGTAAGTCGTTCAGGCAGAGCAGTGGCCTTAGATGTCATCGCCGGACCCACACCGCTGAGGAATCGTTCAGTTGTGAGGTTTGTGGGAAGACGTTTAGTCAAAGCAACAGCCTGAGGGTGCACGTGTGTTCACATCAGTGAAAATTCTTACTGATGTCATAACACGCGCTCGGGAGGAGGTTCGGCCAATTCCCCCCGTTGCCTAAAATAACCTCCGAACGGTGCAGCATAGCGGCGCCTAACCTTTTCATGGCCGGATCCAATTAAACAAGCCGATCAGGTTAGAACCAGTCACCAGTGTGACTGGTGTAACACCAGTGATATTTTGCATAGTACAAATATGTTAGGGATGGTCGCATGGGGAGGTCTTGGGAATTCCGGGCATTGTTCCGTAGTTTGGTCTCGTTTGACCTTACTTAACCTTGAGATCATGACCTAGGGGCTAAGTTTGGTGCAAGTGAGTTCTCATGCGGAGTTATCCACGTTGTGACTTTGGTGTCTCTGACTTTTGTAGTTTTTTTAGATCTCAGGGGGTCAAATTGAAACCTCCCCCACCTGAGCGGCGTCCCATTTAGCCGGCCACCCGGGCGCGCGTCAGCGGCGGAAAACTTCTGGCCACGAGTGATATGCACGCTCACATTCGTGGCCACTTGGTTCAGAACGCTGCTCGTGGAGCGTGTCATAACACATCCCTGTAAAGAAATGCGATCCTTTGTGAAATTGCGGTAAATCGTTTGACGTGAAATAGTCACATTCAGTTACGCTTCAAGGCATATGAGTGGGTGTTCCTTCGTGGTGTTTTAAAAACCGTTTTTGTACAATGCGCTTTGCGTATCCATGGCTCCCGCAGCGCGTGTGGTGCGTGTCTGCGTGGTCCGCCAGAAATAAAATAAAACCTGTCGTTGAGTCTGGTCTTGCAGTATCGTTTTTGGTTCAGCCGCACAGCGAAAGTGGTTGGCTCCGACACTGAATGAGATACATTCGAAGCACTTAAGCCCGAGAAGAGCCTATTTCAGGTCCCACAATCTCTATCTTGAACCAGGGCAGGAGCCATAGTTTTGGTAAGAAGGGGTGGGGGTAGTAAACAGCTTGATAGACAGTTCCCGGTGAAAATGTACCCCGAAAAATCACCAGATTTGGAGAGCGGTGGGGAAGGGCGCGTTTTCACCGTTCAGGTTTTTGGGAGGCCTCCTTCCCCAAATTTCTGGCATTGTAACTACCCATAAATTGCAAAAATTCAGATCAAGGAGGCTCCATAACAGGGTCAGAGTAATAAATCGGATTCAGATCTTTTTGGACATCAAAGGGCCCGTTCTCGGGATCGTAAAGCCACCTTTATGAATAAGGTGCGCCATGCAGCGATCGGAAGGCCCAATGTCGCGTCAGGAAGGCCTCTGCTGGCTCGGGAGGCCCCGTTATGAATTAGGAGTCCCTGTTCTGGATTATGGCGTAATCTCTATATTTTAGATGCCCATTTCTGGAACAGGAATAGGGCCAACGGCTCTTTTTAATCAGGCGACAGCGGTTCCGAATCAAGATTCCCTGTTTTGAGATACCGAAGTCCCTTTCCTATATTTAGAGGCCCCCTCGCAAATCGGAAGCGTCCTGTTGTACATTAGGGGTCCTGTCCACCAGGAGGCCCTCTTCTAGGCTGCCGAAACCCCTTGTTGGATAAAAGAAGGTCCCCATGCTGTTGTTTTAAGAGCCGGTATTTATTTACTTGGGTATGGTGCATGTCACAGCTTGATAAAGGAGCACAACCCTTCGTTGCTCCTCCCCCATCAATACGACACTACGGCACTGCACAGGAGTCACCCTGTGAGGAGGCCTTATTTCGTCCAGGAGGCCCTCTTGAAATCCCCCCCCCCCCCCCCTCCCAACTCAAAATCCGTCGCCCGCTCTTGCATAGCTCAACCATCTTACTAAGATGTTCCTATGAACTACGTTTAATTCTAACCTTTTCACAAAGCTACAGTTTCACATGTGTGAACCGCGGTTCACTTCGGCCAGGGGCCGTCGACCGCATCCGCTAACACAGCCACCGAAGCCCTCCGCTAGAGGGCGGTCACCGCGCGAGCACGGGCGCCGGACCGCAGCCGCCGCACTGAGGTCGAGGCGAGACGCCGGGCCGCGTGCAGTCTACCGACCACAGTCAGCCGGTCGGCCCCCGACGCGGCCGTCCGTCACGGTCGGATCCAGGGACGCAGCTGCACCATCATCATGCAACCAGGGCACTGCAGCTGGAGAACATCGTTGTGAAACGTGCAGAAGTGGAGAACAGTAACGTTTCGCTCGGCCACGGATGGCAGATAGCGATCCGGAGGCTTGCGCTCTCTCGTTGAGCGCCGTTGTGTAGCAGCAAAGCTCTCGCTCGGCTGCACAGCAACCGCGCGAGTCAGAATCCCGCAACCCGCAAGAAATCAGCCGCCCGTGCGTCAGAATCCAATGGCAGGAGCCACGGTGCACCTAGCATTGTTAGGTGCAACACACATTGCCTGTTCTATGGCTGGCAACTGGGCACCGCCAACCCTAGCACTTTGCAGTCAGAACGGCTTCTGACCGGTCCGCATCTGGACTGCCATCGTCAGCCGATGACAGTACCCGCTTCACGTGGACTGGAGAGAGACGCCGGGAATATCGGCACCAGCGCCCCAGTCAGGGACAGACAGTGGGAGCATCCGCAGTGGCCGGTTCACTGATGACAGTACCCGCTTCACGTGGACTGGAGAGAGACGCCGGGAATATCGGCACCAGCGCCCCAGTCAGGGACAGACAGCACCCACTCATCAGACAGCGCTGGTGAAACGCACACACCCAGGTCACCAGCAGCCCGGCACCAGGTCACCAGCGGCCTGGCACCAGATCATCAGCAGGCTGGCTCGGAAGGGAATCCTAGGAAGGGAAAACACACATCTGGACACGAACGGCTCCCGCCTCATCTGACTCTCCAGAGCCCTCTCAATCTTCCCTCTGAGGAACATCTGCCGCGGTGATATCTCGAGGTTTCAGCCGATTGTGACGCGCAAGAATCGCTTTCTCATCGACCTCGAGACACGCCCTATAATTCAGGTCACACACCTTACGCAGCACCGTGGCTCCTTTCCAGGGCCGCGGGAGCTTGTAATATTGGCCGGCAGGCACAGCCGCCCTGTGCAAATATGCCAGAACGCGAGGGTGGAATGAAAACATATTCAGCTTACTTTCATCTGCACTTTTGTTGCGAGCGTGCCTGCGATCGGACGCAGGGATGGCGAAGCGGCCTGCCGCAAACTGGTGCAGAGACTGTTGACATAATACGCCACCGCACGTCTGCCTGTTACAACAGGACCATCGAGGATTACCTCCACTGAAAGCGTTGGCCCTTTTGCGAACATGAAATGGTAGAGCGAGAGTAGCCAAGTGATGAGTGAATCTAAGCGCAGTAGCCCAGCATCAATAAGGGCAGGTCAACGTCCCAGTCGGAGTATTTGTCGTCCAAGTATTCTACCAGTGTGTCCAAAATTGTTCGCACGGGACGTTCTACCATTAAATTGTTCGCACGGGACGTTCTACCATTAAATTGTTCGCACGAGACGTTCTACCATTAAATTTTCCTCGGGATGGTAGGACTGTATTTTTTTGGATTTTCTGCTACCAATAGACGACAGGTTTCCGCTAGAACCGCGCCCGTGAAGTTGGCAGCACTGTCAGAGTGCAGCTGTCTGGGGCAGCCAAACCGGGAAAAGAACACGTTTACCAAAGTGCATGCAACAGTCGTGGCCTTCGTGTCGGGGAGAGCGTACACCACGCACCAACGGCTAAACGCATCGCATACAACCAACAAGTGTTTGGTGCCACGAGTGGTAGTAGGCGACCCAATCAAAAATCGATGCAAATTGTGTCAAACGATTGATTAGCAAACAACTCCCCATGGTGGCACGAGCTGCGGCGCCGGGCCCCTGCTTGTGGTATAGCACTCACAGCTCTTACAGAACGTCCCCACATTCTGGGCCATCTGCAGTCGTCAGAATCGTGCGCGGATCTGCTCAAGAAGCTGACGCTCAAGAAGCTTGTCAGCTCCGAAATGCCCTCCAGCCGGACCCGCGCGAAGCGATGTTAGCACTGCTGGTACTAACGAAGCCGGAACAACGATCTGCAGATTTTCTTCCTCGCCTACACGTCTCTTGTACATTCTGTAAACCACATCTGTTAGGCGTTTGAGCATTGGTTACTGCCCCACGGAGGTGCAGCTGCAGACAGATCAGCCTGTTTTGGTTTCACCCCTGCAAACAAAAAGTGAACACCTCTGCGTCCGTCGCGTCTCGAACCTTCCGCTCCCGAAGGAAAAGGCAGGGACAGTATGCACAAAGAACTCGTCGGTTGGAGTCGCAGCGTCCACACGGTCAGGCGGCCGCCGGCTCAGTGCATCAGCTGCGACGTGAAGTGCTCCTAGTCTGATCAAGACATCAAAATCGAACTCTGCCAGAATTCGAAGCCGCCTGGCGATCATACCAGCTGGATGCTCGAGAATTAGCGTCTGCTGGAGGCTGGCATGGTCTGGATGATTTGATGGCGTAATTTGAACCTTCGACCGAGTAGAGGATACCGGAAGTATCGTGTGAACAAAACGCAAGCCAGGACCTCCTTTCTGGTCGCACTGAAGTTTCTTTGCGATTTAGACAGCCCTTCACACCCGTACGCGATTACCCTGTCCACACCAGCCTGGTCCTGCAGCAAAACGGCACCGATACCCTCGTCGCTGGCGTCGCAGTCCAGCGTGAATAAAGCGGTGCCATTGCCGAACTGTGGGAACGCGCCAATGACGGGCGCGTCTGTCAAGGTTTTTTCAGTCATTCGAAGGCCGTCTGTGCGTCACGTGGCCGGATAAAATTGGCCTCCTGAGTCAGCTTAAAAAGTGGTGCCGCGACTTCCGCAAAGTGACGGGCGTATTTACGGAAGAATGGTGTCCGGCCAAGAAAGCTGCCAAATTCTTTTGGATTTCTCGGCAGCGGCCACTCAACAACTTCTCGGATTTTGTCAGGATCTGCACAGACATCCGCCCGTGAGACAACATGTCCCAAAACGGCGCCACTCGAGCAAAACAGCTCACACTCCTCGGGATCCGAAGTCGGACTGGCGTTATGCAGGCGGCTCAAGATAGAGTCAGGCTTAGCCGGGACGCCAGAGAAGTCTGATCCATGTACCACAATGTCATCGAAATAATGTACACAGCTCGATGGAGGCACGTCCTTCAGCACCACATCCAGCACACGAGCGCAGGTTGACGGAGCCCCAGAACAGCCAAACGGCATCCTGGCAATACGGCGACAGCCAAAAGGGGTGATGGTAGCAGTATTATCCTTTTCCGCCGGGCTTACTCCCACCTGAAAATGAGCATTGTTCGTGTCTTGAGCATAGAAGATGCTGTAGCCCGAAGGCGCCTGAAGTGTATCAACCACACGTAGAATGGGGTATGAATAGGACCTCGTGACGGAACGACGCCCAATTTCCACGGCCATCCTCCAAAGCGCCCTCGCTTACCAGCTCCTCAACCTGTGTCTGGACTTCACCAGCCAGATGAGGCGGAACACGTCTCGGTAGATGACGCACAGCCGGAGTCTCACCAGTGACAATGCAACGGCTCACAAGGATGGTGAATCTTATGAGGCTGTCAAGCATCGCTCCATGTTTGCTAAGCACAGCCTGCACCTTACCCGCTGCTTTTCTCACAAGCTACATTTCCCGAGTCAAAACTGTCACCAAAGCTATAGCAGTTCGATGTGTTTGGCTCACTTGCTATGTGCAAACCTTACTTCCAGCAGCCCCAATTCACCACGCTTGGGGATTGATATAGGCTCCGTTGTTATATTGTGTACAACACATGGCACCGACGAACCGGGCTCAACAAGGGCACTAATGAACTCGAGGCCCTCTATATTAAGGTCTAGTTCAACCACTGCAGGTCCACGATAGTCATAACTGGGCACAAAGGCACGCGTGGTAGCTTCATCCCCCGGGGCGACGACAATATGACCCCTGACCTCCACGCTTCCAACCGGGACGGCTTCGGCTGAGATAGAACGCACAGTAGCTTCTAGCGTTAGGACGAGGCGGCCCCGGCGAATGCCTGTCACCCACGGGCACACTTGAAGAAAATCAAGTCCCAGAATACACGGCACGTCAATGGACCGTGACACGACAACGGACAACATTACCGGAGTCTTATCGAAATCAGAGCTTAGAACAGCTCGACCCAGAAAGGACAGATTACCCTTGGAGGCCGTTATACCGCGCACTGCGGCTTTGCGCAGCGACGGTCTGTTTGGGCAAGCTTTAAACACGGTCTGGTTTATGATGTTAATGTTACTGCCCGTGTTAAGCAGGGAGGTGCAACTGACTCACACTCTGTAGCGCCGAGCGTCATATCTAGATTTAAGTCTTCCGCATTTCTGTTGGCCCACTCCCGTACGGGGCCCGACCCCGGGCTCCTGTCCTGTCCATTGCTCGCTTCCCACGGGGAAACTCTTGTCACATACCGCCTACATGTGTCCCACTGTGCTGCAGCGCCGACAGCGATGATCGATTTTGGCACGCTGCCACCTCGACTGACCCGCTCCCCGCAGGCATGACACGCGGCTGACGGGACCCGACTGGTCGTGATCTGGCGGACTGGTGATCCCGCCTTACCTTAAGCTCAGCGGTCGTCGTAACCGTTGTTTTTTTCCAAGACTTTTCTGGAAGAAACGACAGCATTTGCGCAGCGACGGTCTGTTTGGGCAGCACAGCTGTCGCTCCAGCTGAGCGACAGATATGCTGCTTCTGTCTGCCGCAGTTAGCGTGCCAACAGAAGCGCCAGAGCTGCATCTAAGGATAGGCATAAGCTGCGCTTTTGTCCGACGTTTGCCACGGCAGCATCGGCAGAGGAAATGCCGTCAACGATCACAGCCCAATGATATTCATCCGGCAGTGTTGAGAGCAAGTGGTTAAACAGCAACTCATTCTGACCATCAGCTGACTGGTTGGGAAACGCATTGGCAGCATGTTTACGAAATGGCATGGAAAAGTTATCCCCAGAGACTTGGCACGATCATACCTGAGGCCCCTTAAATCCAAGTGATAATCCACTGTGCTGTGCGAAAAGAACGATGTCCGGATGCCATTAGTTGCTGTCTGAAAAGTCCACTGTTGGTCCCTGGGTAACGCATCGTATGCATCTCCGCCAATGCCCGAAAGGCACAAGGAAAGAATATCTACCTTTCGGACATCACTTCATATCTGCAGTCGGGCATATCTGCCAAAATCGTCCAGGAAATGACCAACACATATATCCTCAGGAAAACGAGGCAAGCCACGTTCACGTGGGTGGAAGTCGTGCGAACTGTCCACGTTACTGATTTGTCCTCGTCCATGTCTGGCATCGTACAACAGTAATTCTACAAACCCAGCGTGTCAAAACAGCGCATAAAAAGACAGCATGAAAACAGACCTGAATACCGACTAAAATAAAGCCTGATTCCAAGCCAGGAAACTGAAGAGACGTCGCGAACGCAGCCGTCCGCCGTCGGGGCGCGCTGTCCGAGCGCACCGTCGACACAGGCGCGCTATCCGAACGCACTGTCGACACAGGCGCGCTGTCCGAGCGCACTGTCGACACAGGCGCGCTGTCCGAGCGCACCGTCGACACAGGCGCGCTGTCCGAGCGCACCGTCGACACAGGCACGCTGTCCGAACGCACTGTCGACACAGGCGTGTTGTCCGAGCGCGAGGTACATTACGCGGTACATACACGCGCGCTGTCAAAGCACGCAGCCGATGTAGCGCGAGAGAAGAAGCCAATGTCTTAACTCCAGGGCGTTGTTGACTTCGCTGCCACCAAATGCAGACTGTGGTTCACTTCGGACACTTGTATTTACAGTCGGTTCTCGTAGACCAGCTTAAAGGGAATGTTTCACATGTGAGAAATGGTAGCAATCATCAGATATGATGAAACAAATTCTTCTATTCGTATACTTCTTAAGTGGAGAAGACAGCTCCGGACAGCACAACTCTATAATGAGTAACTATGCTCCTCAATGCGTCATGGTGACGTCAGGGCACCGTGCAGAACATTGATGAAGAGCCAATTGACGGCCGTAAAATCTGCAAATCGTGTTCACAAACGGCAGATATGAACGCCTCAGCAATCATACTTCCTTGGCTTGAATCGCCGCATGGCTAGTGGAATGGCAGGATTTGAATGGCGTTATTATGACGTCATAAACATCAAGGCGACTTTAACATACTTACTCCGATGTGTCTTTCCCCATTTCCGCGGGCTGATAGCTCAGAAATGAGATAGGCTTATGTCTTAATAGGGGCGGGATCGTGAACCACCAAAAGGTCTTCTAGACGGCTCTTTCAGTTCCAGCGCCCATCTAAATGTGGAACACTCCCTTTGACTCTCGGCCACACCCGGCCGTCCCTATCCCAAGTTTGCCGTCCCCCGGCCCGCACACGCGACCTCGGCCGGGTCACGTGGTCAATGCCCGGAGGCATGAACACAGCCAGCCGCGCCGGTTGAACGCTGACCAAGCCTGCTGAAAGCCGACCCTGGAGCCCGTCACCAACTCCCTCCTGCAAACACATTCACCCGCGGCGGTGCGGCGCTCGGGTGGCCGTTCCGCGGTCGACGTGGTGCGGGCGCTCGGAACCGTTGACGGGCACAACATTCCTTTGCGTATGGCGAGGGCCTCGGCTGTAAACAGCACGGAGGTTCGGCTCATTCGGAGGAGTCTCGCTAGATGGCAGAGGGTGGCTGGCGCGCGCGCTGGCTCGGGAAGCCGAGGCCGGCGGCCGAGCGATGAAAAAACAACTCCGAATCTGTTCCAGATGCTATAGCAGGGTGGTGCGCATGCGCGATGGAAATGCTTACATCACTCCGGCGTAATCGCTATTCAAGCCGCAGAGGTCGGCCATTTGAGGCGCTCTGCACCGTGGCCAGTCTGGGGTAGGTTTTTGGGGACGGGCCAAAGAGGGTAGGACTCTGCGGCCTTTACGTTCCTTCGTATCTTATCAATGTCTGCACGCTACAATTTGACTTGAGCGAAGTATGTTTTGATATCGGTTTATTGATGAGGCGGGTTCTTTGACGAGTATCGAGGTTTGGCGTCAGAAAGTTGAGTGTTAAGTTCGAAATTCGGCCGAGTATGGACATGGCAATAAAAACACATACATATGCAGTGAGCATATTTCCCTTTCCTGGTGCGCTGTGCCGGGGTTGCTTTGCGGTGAACGCCGAACGAACTCTTCCGGGCCCGCACATCTATACCGTGTGGCAGGCGGAGCAAGTGTGCATTAAACTGAATCACGATGCATGGATGTGGCCACTAACTGCAATGTGGTATTTCACGATGAGGACTGGCGCGAAGCGCTGGCCAGCAACGCGAGATCGTCACACTACTACATATGCGTTTGACATGGTAAAACATGGGAAGTATGTTGAGTGCTCTGGACAGAATATAACAAAAATACGTGCTATCAATAATGCGTTACATTACAAGTACCTAAAAATATATTCTTGCCGTTTGTTGTTTTCTCAAAGTCCTTTGGAATGGCTCCAGCCCCCGCGATGGTCCAGATGCATGGGGCGTCACTTGCTAGTCCTGAGTCAGAGGCGAGCAGCTGCCTCAACGAAGTCCTGTTTTGTACATCTCAACTTGCATAGAGGAGCCTGTGGGCCTCCGCCTTGGAGATGCTGCAAGACCACTGCGTGCCAAATATTGCATACTTCACTTCAGTACACACGGCAGGCGTTCGCATGGTCACGCACACGTTGCCCACAAGTTGCAGGATGCATCGCTGGAAGGATTTCCATGCGTTCGCAAACAAAGGCTGTTCTGTCCCGTCAGCCCCGGTTTTCATCTGGAATGTGTGGGACAAGTGATTCGCACATAACCTTCCTTGCGGTCTTTCCTCTTATGCTCGGTCACGGTTGTAATTCGCTATTCAGATAGAGGGAGGCCGAGGCCCCTCCCCAATTTCGGTTCCAGCTTCACAACTTTGAGAAGAGAGTGGCCCGATTCCGACAAAAACCGTTTGAAGGTGTATTTTTGACAGCAGGTTGAGTCATTTTTCGCTAGTCGGCCCCTCTCCCATCACATCTTGCGAAACTACGGCTCTAAAAACTGCTAAAAAAAACTACTCATTTCCAGTTTGAGACCCGGCGCTGATTTGACGGGTCTGTTTGACCGATCGGACTTGCTGTTGACTTCGTGCCAGCGCACATTCAGCAATACACCCGTAGTGTGACTGGGGTTAGTTGTAGGGTGTTTGCACCACTTCCGTGGTGTTTTTTCGCGCTCATGCTTAAACCGTTTGATATTTCAATTTACGCAGTTGACAATCATTGTTCGATCTGCGCCACGTTCACTGAACTTTGCGCCTGGTTTGAGGCAGTTCAAGATCGCGAGCGCTGTGGGGAGGAGCGGTCCCGGAGGATGCGTGCCGTGGCAAGAATGGTAGGTGTATTCGATTTTTTTAATAGGCACGTGTGGTAGGCCAAGTTTATTGCTTGCTTATAATAGCTGGATTGAAATTGGAGGCCGGGAGAAGGAATGCCTTAGGAGAAGTCATTTCACCCTGGAGTGTGAAACTGATGCGTAGTGAGGTTATAGGTAGGTAGCAATTTTATATAGTTCATACTTACAGATGCGATATTTATTCTGGACGAATATACCCTCAGGATCTCCTTTGTTGTCACTTAAAACCAGGAGTTACAGGGATCATCAAGGGAGGAACAGTCGTGGAGATGTGCATTCTGATCCTTGTCATTGTGAACTATGGAGGCTTCCTTTGCAATTTACACCACTTCTATCAGCATTTGGTGTTTCTCTACAGTATGTTGTGTAGGAATCCCTTCATTAGAGAGTGGTATGTGATGCTCAGCTGGAAACATCTGTCTGGGTAGTGGGTAGTCTGGGTAGTGAGACTGGAAGTTGTTTGCATTGCATTGCATCTAGATTGAATCATACATGCGGTTGCTCTGTTTATTGTGCATTATCCCAGCCTGCGATCTGAGATCAAATCAACTTAGACCATACATGCAAGCAGCCTGAAAGCTGATGGGCAGTGGAGAACTGTGGTAGAGGCTGTTGGCTGGTTCTTTGATGTTATGTGTGCTGGGTTATAATTATTTTTAGAAACATTGCACTTGAGCATGTCATTGTCAACCTGTCGGCGAAACAGCCTATAAGTCAGCATTGAGCATGTCATTAAATCTAAATGAGATTTGTTACACATTTCTCTGCACCTCAAAGGAGCTGAAAATGGTGGAGTTCTAATTAGAGCTCAACCTTCACAACAGGTTAGGTTTTTTGCAAGTCATAGGTTGATTTGCAGGCCTGATCCCCATTCGTAGTGGTTTGCAAATATGGAATGTAAGATGCTAACCAGTAACATGCGTGATCAGGCCAGTATTTCCATTTGGCAGCAAGCTTGAAATTTAAAGCACTTTAAAAGGCTAAATTGATAGCTGATGTTTCTTCAAGATCATTGAGGATCTTATTCTATCAATACCACCCTGGAATATATGCCTGAGATGCATCATTTGAATGTGTATTCAATACACATCCTTATAATATGAAACTGAGAGGGATGATCTGTGTGATAGAATCTAAGAATAAATTGCTTTGGCATGTGTCTGTGCTTGCTGCAGGCAGGGTATGCCTTTGCATACACAGATGTTGGCCCGGCCTGCTTGTCAGAGCCTGTAATGTGCTAATATGATTTAATCAACCTTTGCAGCATAATCTGGTTAAGTGTTTCAGATCTCACACATTATATATTCGCTGACTGATGCAATTTTCAAGCATGTTGCACATCAGCTTGAGTGCACCATCCAATCCATTTGATGATGCATCTCCAGACATCTTAAATTTCACTTCAGTTTTTGTTTAATTCATATTTCACCCACACCGCACGAACTTGCTATTTCACATGGCATGCTTGGTAGCCAGACTGATAATGAATACAATTCAGAAGTTTTTATGTTTCACATCATGCACACTTAAAATGATAACCACATGTATAGGAGGGGATGATAGGATGTATAGTTTTAATTTGTGTGACAATATGATTTGCTTTCCTTCCCAAACAATTTCCTTTGACTATGGTCATGTGTGTGCAACTGACTGATATGATTTTATTAATATGTTTTATTGATATGTGATTTTATTGATGTGTGTGTGTCCTGGCAACTTAACAGCACACTCAGCTGTTGAGGCTATGCAGTGTCACCTGCCTCTCACCCTGACAGGAAGAGCAGGCCCTGAGTGGAATTTGACCCTGTTTATCTGGGTTCTCTGACTGCGCTTCTGGTGCCATTTTATTGTGGCACTGATAGTGCAGTGGCTCAGCCACATGTCTGGGAAACCAGGAGTGCTGGGTTTAGTTCCCAGCTGAACCCACCCTTCCTGCCAGGGTGAGAGGCAGGTGATGTCATACAGCCTCAGCAGCTGAGTGTGTTGTAAAGCCCTAATCACACACTTGTACTTCACCAGACATGAAAAGCCATGGGTTTGACCCTGTCAACTGGCATAATGTCTGGTCATCCCCCATGGCCAATCAGCAGCAGACACGTTGATGTGAAATAGATAAGTGGAATGCATGTGCCGTCGAATAAGCTGACATTCATAAAGCATGTACCACAGTGAGCAACGCACATTTATACTCTGACGAATAGATGACATGTCCTCTTTTTATTGGTGTGAATATGCTACGTCTGTGGAATTTCTTTGTGGCAAAGCACAACGTAGCGTATCGGGCCGCACCATTCGCTGCTGGTCGCCGGGTACGCTGGCTGTCTACTGACTGCTGTCGCCCCGGCAGGCGGGCGTGCGCGCCGGGCCCCGGGCCACCGGCCGCTGATGGAGTTGGCCGACGAGCCGCCCGAGGCGCTGACGGCCGGCGACCCCTGGCAGCGCGCCTTCCACATCCTGGTGCGCGAGTATGTGGTCACCTTCCTGCTGTTCGTACTGCTGCTGGCGCTGGCGTACGGCCTGGTGCAGCGGTACGCGCGGCGCGAGCAGGCCGAGTACGCCGTGCGTGATGACGAGGAGGCGACCGTACACCGCACCGCGCTGCTGCTCTGCACGTTCTCGCTGGCGCTGGCTGGCGGCGCCGCCCTGCTGCTGCCCATCTCGATCACGGCCAACGAGATCCTGCTCTACTACCCGGACTCGTACTACATGCAGTGGCTCAACAGCTCGCTGATACAGGGCATCTGGAAGTACATCTTCCTGCTGTCCAACCTGTCGCTGTTCGTGCTGCTGCCGTTCGCGTACCTGTTCACCGAGTCGGAGGGCTTCGCCGGCGCACGCAAGGGGCTCCTCTCGCGCGTCTACGAGACGTTCACCGTGCTCTCCCTGCTCGCCGTCCTCGTCGTCGGCATCGCGTACGTGCTGTCGGCCTTCCTGGACGGCGAGAGCGGCCGGCGCAGCCTGCAGGACGGTGTGGACCGCGCACCTGCCGCTGCTCTACTCCTTCATCTCCAGCTTCGGCGTGCTGCTGCTGCTGCTCTGCACGCCGCTCGGCTTCGCCCGCCTCTTCGACCTGGTGGGCCGGCTGCTGGTGCGGCCGCATCTCATGGACGACCGTGGAGGAGCGGTGCGCGGCGGCGCGGCTGGAGGCGGCCGCGCTGGTACGCCGCCTGGCTGCCGCCGCCGCCGCCGCGCCCCAGCCGCTCCTCTGCCCGGAGGAGGAGGAGGCCGAGCCGGCCGTGCGGCTGGCGGCCGTGCGCGAGGAGCTGGCGCGGCTGGAGCGGCGCCGGCGCGCCTCACCGCTGGAGCGGAACCTCGGCTACCCGCTGGTGATGCTGGCGCTGCTGGCGCTGACGGCCGCCGCCGAGTTCATGGTGCTGCGGAACTCGGTGGAGCTGCTGGTCGGCGTCAAGGCGCTACCACTCAGCACGCAGCAGGTGAGTCGGGGCCGGGAGAGACGGCCTGCAGGGCTGAGAAGCCTGCCGGTGGGACGGGTGAGAAGCCTGCCGGTGGGACGGGTGAGAAGCCTGACGGTGGGACGGGTGAGAAGCCTGACGGTGGGACGGGTGAGAAGCCTGACGGTGGGATGGGTGAGAAGCCTGATCATAGGATGAGAAAGAAGTCTGGAGATCTGGAGAAGAAGAGAGAAGACCAGAGGTATGGGGTTTCGATTCCCCGCGGCGCCCGCCCTTCCTGCCAGGGTGAGAGGCAAGCAACGCCATATAGAGACAGGCAACGCCATACGTGCTACCCACCTGTGCCAGACAGGTGGGTAACGTATGTGCCCCCTGGGTATATTGTTTGGCTTTGCTCTCCATTAACTTGCCGTGTGCCGTGCCTGCAGTCCGAAGCCTCGTAAGCTTTTCTTCTACTCCCATTCGTGGGTACGGTCTGGGATGCGCGTGCTTATCTCGTGCCGTTCATGCCCATTCTGAATTGTGGTAGACGTTCGTCCATTTGCATGCTCCGGTGCTGCCCTCTTTAGTTCCGGTTTATCTGTACCTGACTGTCAGTTTGAAGCGGTGCTACCTCTGCACCGGCGTCCAGGTTGATTTCGGGAGCTTTCGTCTCCCTTTGTTCGCGGAGGGCTGGCGCTTACTGTGGCCACATATCTCCGGCTAGGAACTGTGAAAAAGAACAGGAACTGTGAGATCAATAGTCCTATTGTGCATTCGCATCTGTTTCTAACGGAGGTGGCCACAGATGGCAGCACGTATTCCCTGGCACCAGCAGAACGCTGGGATTCGGTCTCGGGGTGCTTCTCCGTGTAACCTCGGGAGTCTCTGGCCTTGTCTTGATGTTGTAAGCGTCTCAGAGTTGGTGCTGGTGATGGATGATTGAAGCTGAGATCGAAGTATGTCAAAACCGCATGGTGATCAGTGCCATGCATCCTCCGAGAGTGTCCTCGCCAAAGCACCGAAGGGGGCCCAAATAAGCCGAAAATGCAAGCCCATCAATCGGCAGGAACCCAAAATACAGCTCTTGGATCGTGCGTAAATGTGCCTGTACCCACCCAAAACCACTGTGCCGGCCAGGTTCAAGAGAATAGCACCCTGAAATCGTGTGTGTAAAGGCGCGCCGCTGTCCACCCAGAGGACAGGCCGTGGCCGAGGGCCGTGACCTTGCTCGCCGTGGTAGTTGACCAGGCCCAGTGTGGCCAGGGCCCAGATGGCCGTGACCTTGCTGCGACCGTTGTGGCCAGCACCCAGAGGCCCGTGACCTTGCTCCGCCGTGTGACCAGGTGACGCGCGGGCATCACGTCGCTGTCGGCCCTGGGTCCGGTGGGCGCCGCCCTGGAGATCGTGCTCATCGGCTACTTCCTGCTGACCTCGCTGGTCGGCTTCTACTCGCTGCCGGCGTTTAGTCGGCTACGGCCGGCGGTGGCCGACACCCCGCTGCCGGCGCTGATCGCCAACTGCGCCGTCATGCTGGTCATCTCGTCGGCGCTGCCGCTGCTCATCCGCACGCTCGGCATCACCAACTTTGACCTGCTCGGACACTACGGCAAGGTGCGCTGGCTGGGCGACTTCTACATCGTCTTCTTCTACAACATCGTGTTCGCCGTGGCGTCGGCGCTGTGCCTGGTGAACAAGTTCACGGCGTCGGTGCGGCAGGCGCTGTTCCGGCGGCTGGCGGCGCTGCGGCGGAGCCTGCAGGCCGACCGGTCCGCGCTGCGCCGGCGCGACGCCTCCGGCTCGGCGGCGGCCGCTCCGGCCGGCGCGCCGCAGAAGCCGCCGCCGCCCGGCTGACGGGCGGCCGGGCTGGGCAGGGCGCGGCGGCGGCCGTGGAGGGGTGACAGGTGCGCCTGGTGGGAGAAGGAGGGGAGAGGCAGAAACGGCTGGTATTTCGTCAGGAGTCTTTGGCACTGGAAGGAGCCGCATATGCTCCGGTAGGAGGCGCTTGTGTGCTGGGATGAGTGGGTGGGTTCTTGAGGAATGATTCATGCGATGTGGAGCTTGGCTCGTGCAGGGATTGCGTGTGCGCCACACATCCCGGGCGTTGGCGTCTCCCGGGGGGGGGGGGGCGATTGCGCCATGTTGAAGGGAGCCTCGTGGTCGCGGGAGCATGCTGACCGTGGTGTATCGCGAATGGCGAGAGCGGACTCAGCGAGCCTTGCGACGTCTCCGCTGGGAGGCGCGGTCGAAGCTCAGCAAGTCAGAAGTCGAGAGGGAAGACGGTCGGACGGCCGCGCCGCTGTGGCGCCTGCGCCGGCCGCTGGAGACGGAGCTCTCTGTGGCGGCCGGCCGGCTCCGGACGCGCGTGGCCGCCGCAGCTGAGCCGCCGCTGGCGGACGCGCCGGGCGCGGGCCGCGCTCGCGCCCCGGCCGCGCCGCCTCGGCACTCACTCACGGGTCGTCGCTGCTGCCGGCCCCAGACAGGGGTCGCTGCCCACTCATCGCCGGTGTGTGCGGTGCATATGTCGTATTTTTTTGGGTACCTTATGTTTTTCGTTGTTTGCGCGGACGGGGTGGCGGCGTCCAGTGCGGGCGGGTGGTTTGAGAGCCGCGGCCGGCAGTATGAGAGCCGCTGGCGGACGGCGCGCTCTGGTGCGCCGCTCCACTCCGATATTAGCCGCGCTGTCCTCGACGGTGGCCAGTCTCTCCGAGTCATATCATGCGCGCGGCGCCGGCACCGCACGACCTGTCGGGGCGCGGTCGGCCGACAGCGCCGGGCCGGACGACCTGTCGGGGCGCGGCCGGCCGACAGCGCCGGGCGACCTGTCGGGGCGCGGCGGGCCGACGCACCGGTCGCAGCCGCGGTGGGTCGCCAGGTGGGGATGCCTGCCGCCGGTATGCTGGAGGGTATTAACAGGCGGATAGGTTGGTTCGCTCGGGTCTCGTGGCTCGGAAACTTGAGTGTGTCGCAAGTCACGTGCCACATTTCGTCGCGTGTCACATGTCAGGTGCCACTTACATGTCTTGTGTCACATTTTGTGTCGTGTCACTCGCATATGTATTCCTCGGCATTTGACGTGCTTGGCTCGGAGAGCGGTCAGAGACGTCGGGCATCCTGGCCAATGTTCACCGAAAGCTGTCTGTCCGGCCATGCGCGCGCCGGAAGTCGGTGGCTTCCGGCCGCGACTGAACCGGAAGTCACATTTTCGGCCGCCAAAACTTGCCACTCGCGGCGCACAAGTGTCATGTTGCTGTCTTCATGTGATGGAGGGGAACCCCAACGAATTGTCGCTTTCTTGGAGGGCATTCCACGCGCTCACGGATAGTGTTTTGGTAATGTGCGTCGTTGACGTCACTTCGTCGTCCGATCCATGTAGTACGACGTACCTTGACTCAGACTCAAACCGTTCTTCCGCACACACGTCGAGAATACACATATGTGTTGGTACACGGGCGTGTGTTTGACCTTGGACTGCCCTGATCCGCGGGCATGTATTTGACCCTGGATTGCCCTGATCCGCGGGCGTGCGCTTGACCTTGGATTGCGCTGATCCGCGGGCGTGCGTTTGACCTTGGATTGCCCTGATCCGCGGGCATGTATTTGACCTTGGATTGCCCTGATCCGCGGGCGTGCGTTTGACC